AAATATTCTAGTGATGCAAATTATTATAGTAATTATACCCAATTTCAACATAGGGAACAATCTACGAGTAAGCAATACGGCAATAACATTTATGTTATTTAGTGTTTGTCTGCTTACATTGTTGACTCAACGCTACAATGAAATTCTTATGAATTCAGTACAAAACAATTTCCTTTATGCCATTTTCTTTCTTCTTTGCCCCGTCCAGCAGGTTCGGCAGATAGGGGCGGCGGCTAAGCGAAATTGGTTTTTAAAAATATTTCACATTTCAATTTTTCGCTTTCACTTGCCCCGCCCCCCTCGCCGGCAGCAATGCGTAGGCCTTGGCGGCTACCTTCTCGCAAGTTATGGGTGCGCATTATAATAAAAGCCACGACCACTGCCACTGCCCCTGCCACTGCCATTGGGGTGGGGCTCCTGAGAGGGCCAACCGCTTTGGCTTTTACTGTCTGCACAAATAACAATCAAAATTTTCGTGGCGTTGCCTGGGCAGCCGCTCCGTAATCTTGGAGCGGAGGATAAGCGTGGCTCGTGGCCTGGAAATTGCCATTGCGGTTGCCACTGCCTACAGTCCTGCAGAAATTACAGGTGCCTAATGCAAATTTGTGTGCGGCATATTTTGTGGCTGCTGTTTGAAAATTTAAATAAAAATAATTCGGAGTTTTTGTGCCGCGTTTGCAGAAATCAATTTTTCGTTGTAGCTAAGCACAGCGTCGTCGCWCAGCTCAGCGCTGCGTCGTCTGATGCTGATTCGATTTGACTCGCAGTCGCAGTGCCTGGTCTTCCAGCTGATTGTCATCATTCAGGCTGAAAACAGATTTGCCTCCAATCAACGTGCACTTAATTTCGTTTATTTGATTGGATTTGTGTTTACATGGCTGCCTAGGCAGAAATTCATATAGCCATAGACACAGACACAGACACACAGATAGAAGAGATACGGCCACACACACAGACACAGACATAGCCACAGCCAAAGGCTGAATCTCAGATTTAAATTCGTTTGGAGTTTTTTGGTCGCTGCGGCAAATTAGAAAATCAAATCAGTTGCCCACTTGCGCCGCCTCGTTGATGCAACAAAATTTCTGAATATTGAAAAATTTATAGAAATATTTGCAAAATGTCTCGCACAGCCCCACAGTCAGCTACCCTCAAACCTCAAAGCTGAGACTTGCCAAAAATAACCAAAAAAATATATATGTACATCTTCTATATATATAAAAGAAAGTTGTGTAAAAGTGAAGACTGCTTATAACTTGATTTGGGCTGAACCAATTTTCATGGTTTTTGATTTGTTGGATTTGTCTCCGCAACGAGTTTAGTATAGGGTCTTAAAAATACTGAAAAAATTTGCCGAATACTTGAAAAACGCGGTTTTTTCCCCAAATGTTCAAATTTTTTTTATACCCAGTAGGCTTGGTAACAGTGACAGTTTTGACAATAGTGTAGAAGTAAATAAACAAATGTAGTCAGTCAGTCTACGGTCTCCTGACCTCGAGCAGACCTGACTATTCAAAAAAAAAAAAA